ATTGATTAGGGGGGAAGGGGGATACGTGATACAGCTCAAGTGTCCCAACTACTTTTGGCCGGGATTGCAGCCTATATCCATGAATTCTGTCCCATTCTTCTTTGAACACTGACTGTAAGCCATCCCTGATGATGTCGGAAGTGATGTAACAGATACGGAAATAATTGAGCTCTTCCAATGTGAAAACCTTGTCTGACATGTTTAGCCTCTGCGGTTACCTGCAAGTGAAATTTGAGCAGCTAAACTTTGTTTGGAGAAACATCTAGCCTGAGTTTCAGGTTTTGCGAAGGAAGACCTGATGCCCAGGGTACCTAACAAGTCACATCGTTTGACTGGGAAGGAAAAGATCCTGAAACAATTTGGCAAATGATCTCCTGGACACATTTATCACCACACATAACAGTGACCCTCTCCTCCGCAAAGGTTCGAAACGTTCATTATAGAAAACCGCTGTGCGAGGTAAGTGCAGGCGCAAAGTCGAATGGATCGTGGACAATTTTGAGAAGCGCCACGCGTCAAGTAATTGAATATGTTGTGATCATGTCTTTTTTTGAGAGNGATGATGTCGGAAGTGATGTAACAGATACGGAAATAATTGAGCTCTTCCAATGTGAAAACCTTGTCTGACATGTTTACCCTATGCGGTTACCTGCAAGTGAAATTTGAGCTGTTAAACTTTGTTTGGAGAAACATCTAGCCTGAGTTTCAGGTTTTCCGAAGGAAGACCTGATGCCCAGGTTAATTAACAAGTCACATCGTTGGACAGGGAAGGAAAAGATCCTAAAACAATTTGCCAAATGATCTCCTGGTTACATTTATCAACAAACACAACAGTGACCCTCTCCTCCGCAAAGGTTCGAAACGTTTGTTATAGAAAACCGCTGTGCGAGGTAAGTGCAGGCGCAAAGTCGAATGGATCATGGACAATTTTGAGAAGCGTCACGCGTCAAGTAATTGAATATGTTGTGATCATGTCTTTTTTTGAGAGTGAATCAGATTTTGTCTTTGATTGACAGTTTTTCCTTTTTTGGAGTTTAACAAGCAGTGAGGATTTTTAGCAGTAGCCGTAGAAGGTTAAGTCGAGTCGAAAAGAAAACCGTGA